ATCTATCTATCTATCTATCTATCTATCTATCTATCTATCTATCTATCTATCTATCTATCTATCTATCTATCTATCTATCTATCTATCTATCTATCTATCTATCTATCTATCTATCTATCTATCTATCTATCTATCTATCTGTTCCATTTTACACAGCAGCTTATACCACTGTTTTCATATTCCGAAAAAATGGAGTCTAATCACTTTTCCTGTCTCTTTGTTTGTTGTTTTTGTGTTTTCCTCTCCTCGGACAGAGTGTCCCCCGGGGTTCTGCCTGGCTCGGGGATCCTGCGTGGTGGAAAAACGTGGACCCGTTTGCACGTGAGTTCAACTTCAACCTCAAACAACCACCTTCGAGTGTCACGTTTCCCCCCGACCAGCCTCCATCTCTCTTTGTAAGACGCTAAAAAACGTGGAAATCCCATCAGCTTTGCTTCTGTCTCTGAAAAAGACGCGCTCCGTGGAGCGTGTGGGAATCTTCTTATCCCCTTCCAGATTAAAACAGGGCGGTTCCGCCTCCATTTATCCTCCGGCACAGCGTTCCCTGGGAATGCCTGAATCTCCCGGTCAATATTCAAACAAAGTCTATGCTCCCAAAGGCCTCAGCGGACGGACCGCTAAAAAGAAATACATCGGATTAATCTTTCTGCATATTAGTTTGCTGGTTGTAAAAACCCAGTAGAGAGACGCTTTGCTCTGGCCGTCGGGGCCCTTCTGTAGTTTTTTCTTATTAAGCTCGTGAATCTCGTTGTCCGCATCAGCAGTTTGGAACGTCTGCAGCGAGAGATTTCGTTTCTAAAAAAGTAAGAATGTAATTATGAGACTTGCTGCTGGGTCTGCTAACATGATTATGCATCAATGAGTCCTCACTTAGAGATTCACATTTCCCCATCCTCATGTCGGATCTGCCAAAAAGAGGTTGCATAAGTAACCGGACAACGTGTTTAGAAATGGATTTAGTTTTCGTAAGCTTGCCTTTTTTAAAAGGTGGGTGACAAACGTTTGTCCACACATTTGATCAGACTGTGTTCTCTACAGGTTTTTAAAATCTAAACTAACTGTTGCATCTGTAAAAGAGGCTGCTGGTAGCTGCAGGTCCCTGCTATTAGATGCTGGTAAAAGTCTGCGTGGGACGTGTTAAAAACAGCCTGCAGCTGTCAGAAAAGCACAGACACCAACATTACTCTTAAAAAAAAAAGAAGAAAAAAAACTAAAAAGCATAGTTTATGTTTAATGTTGCAACCCGGTGAGATAGGTTGTTACAAAAATGAACAATTTTTACAAGTTGCTGGTAAAAGTCTGATGGGACGTGTTAAACAACCTGATGCTGTCAGAAAAACACAGACACCAACATTACTCTTAAAAAAAAGACAAAAAAGACAAAAAAAGACCAAAAAAAAGTAAAAAACAAAAAACATAGTTTCTGTTTTAATGTTGCAACCCAGTGAGCCAGGGTTGTTACAAAAATAAACTATTTTTACCAGATGCTGGTAAAAGTCTGCATGGGACGTGTCAAACAGCCCGCAGCTATCAGAAAAAACAAGACACCAACTTTATCCTTAAAAAAAAAGACGAAAAATGACGAAAAATGACGAAAAATGACGAAAAATGACGAAAAATGACGAAAAATGACGAAAAAAGACAAAAAAAAGACAAAAAACCCTAACCCCCCCAAAAAAAGACAAAAAAAAAGACAAAAAAAAGACAAAAAAAGACAAAAAAGATAGATGCTGGTAAAAGTCTGTATGGGACGAGTTAAACAGCCTGCAGCTATCGGAAAAACACAGACACCAACATTATCCTTAAAAAAAAAAATGAAAAAACCCTAAAAAAAACCTAGTTTGTGTTTTATGTTGGAACCCGGTGAGCCAGGCTGTTACAATCATACAAAAAAGACATGGCCAGGAAATCCTCTTGGACACGGAAACACGGCCTCTCCTTCATTCCTCGCGTTCGATTCCCCTCTCCACTCGTTCCCTGCCCAACTTTCCACCACGGCTGCCTCCTTTCATTATGCAGGAAGAGTTTATCCGAATCTCAGAGTGGACACCTTTGAGTCTGTATTCACATCAGACTCCTCCATACTCCCAATGATAACCATCCAGAGCTGTGTGTTTGGGATTATGGGAGTCGTGTATCTCGGATATCAGGCTGATACCGAACAGATGTGGACCTGGAGCCGAGTCAGGACGGGAGAGGAGAGGAACCGACTTTCTTTGGGAGAGATGCTGTTCGTATTTAGTTTTCCACTTATGATGTCCAACAGATTGCTCTCATACCGGTTCTCAAACATACTAACGACACATTTAAAGTTATTTCCTTTATTTTCTTTAAGTTTCACCATCGTTAGGTTGCAGTATTTTCTATTCTTTCTTCCTCGAGGGACCCAAACTAATGTTGCATTACTCACATTGTGCATCCAATCCTAAGAAAATTTCACATAATTGTGGAATGATCCCCATTTGTTCATCTTTCGGAGGGATGTATCTTTCAAAATAAAACAGGAAATGACAAGACAACCATGGAGATAGGATAAAACACCAAAAATTCCCCCAGATGTGACACAGATGATAGATAGATAGATAGATAGATAGATAGATAGATAGATAGATAGAT